AAATATATTAAAAATATAAAAATTAATATTTTTAATAATATTATTAAATAAATAAATTTAATTATATAATAATAAATTAAAAATTAATTTTTATTTTTAATATAAATTTATAAAAAAATATTTATTATATTGTTAATTTTTATATAAAAGTTAAAATAACCTATTTCTTTTTTAAAAAATGAAATATTTCTTTTTCACCATTGGCATTGGTACCAGCTTGGCCCTTGGTTTTAGCTACTACTGGCTAGCTACGGAAAAGAATTTGTCTTTTGGGAAAAACTGTGATTGTACCTTCGTAACATAAAAATGTAATGTAAAAAGAGTGAAGTGAGAGAGGAGAAGAAACGAAGTGATTATAGACTAGAGAAAAAATCGTTCTCTTTATTTTCGCAGAAATAAAGCATACCTTTCTGAAGCTTGAGGACACCAGAAGAAGAACAAATGAACAACAGAAAAAAACCCAGAGGGAAGGTCATCATGAAATTAAAAAAAAAAAAGAAAAAAACTCAAAGAGAAAAATAAGAACTGAAGAGTTCAATTTCTTGATCTTTTTATTAAGGTTTTTGTAACTTGTGTTTTAAAATATGAGTTAAAAATATATTTATTATAATTTTTTATTTATTTATAAAAAAATAAAAATAAATTTTAATTTCATTAATTATTTAATTAAAATTATCACATAATATTAATATTAAAAATAAGATTTATTTATTTTTTATAATTTATTAATAAATAAATTAATACAAAATATAAAATAAGTACGCTCTTACATACTTTTAAAGCAAAAGTTAAAAAAAATCTAATCATTTATATACACGTGCTATATATTTTGCATTAATGGGATGCAGAAACGTGCATTGATAAGGTACGTTAAGAAACATTTATTCCTAACGCAAGATTAGATCTCTCCGATCCCTTAGAGAAAAGATATTAATATCATATAAAAATATTAACATTTAGCAAGGAGACTCGTTACCTAAATCCACGACTTTTTCTCTAGAAAGTGTGTTTGGTTGCAGTTTTTTTTGGTAGAATTATTGTGGTGCTAGGTAATTAATGTTTAGTCAAAAGTGTTTAGTCAACTAAACTAATTTTTCTAAGAATTTTATCTTTAAAAAATTATTGCTGGACGATACTAGTACAATCTTAGATGCATAAAGTTTACTTGACTAAATATTCACCGATATAATTCCAGAGTAGATGAACTACACTTCCAACTTTTCAAGTTCTTCAAATAACTGCAACCAAACAAAGCCTAAACTTCATATTTTTCACCCCCAACAGCAAGGATTGGAGAGGAAGGTGGCTTGTTACTGGAGAAGAATTACAATTGTCTTTCATGCTGTGGATTTTTTTGATATATATAATCTTGTACTCGGCTGACAGGAGAGATATGAAACAGGCTTTGTCGATATTTATATTCATGGCATGGCTTGGTGACTCCTCTCTAATCCCTCTCTTTTCCTCTCTCATAAAAACTACTTTCTGTTCCCTCCCGTTCATTTTCTACACTGACAGAGAATACCTGCACACTTCCTCACACACGCACGCATACTCAAAACCACCCTCTCATGCCACATACATACATTACCTTCTCTCTCATATGATATGATATTGAGAGAGAGAGAGAGAGGGGGGGGGGTGGAAATAGTGAGAAGCAGAACAAGACAGAGCAGAGAAAACAGAGAGATTTTTCCAGCCATTTCGTACCATATAATTATGTTGCCTTTTTCTCTGCCACTCGATTCATCAAATCCCCATGGAAAACCCCCACAATATAACACCCCATCTACATTCCAGAATCCACACCACTCCCCATACTACCAAACAACACCATTTCTCCTTTCTCCGTTTCTTCCTCTGCAAACCCCTGGCTCATGATCTCTGCATTCCAGGGATTTCGTGACGGCTTGAACCTTAAAGCAAGCAGTTTCCCATCGGGGTTTCTGATTTAGAGATTGTATACTCTTAGGTTCCTCTTCTTGTTCTGAAAGTTTGATTTTTTTTTTCTTTTGTTATTTCATGGATATGGCTATGGCTATGGGTGGCTACCACCATTTTGACCACAATGATGCTCATCTTCCTCCTGGCTTTCGCTTCCACCCAACTGATGAAGAACTCATCACCTACTACCTACTGAAGAAGGTTCTTGATAGCAGCTTCACCGGCCGAGCCATTGCCGAGGTTGATCTCAATAAATGCGAGCCATGGGAGCTTCCTGGTGATTAACGCATCATCTTACACATTTTCTCTGTTTTCATTGTTTTTTTATCAAGTTTCTGACTTTTTTGCTCGAATGGCAGAGAGGGCAAAGATGGGAGAGAAAGAGTGGTACTTCTTTAGTCTCCGAGACCGGAAGTACCCAACTGGCTTGAGAACCAACAGAGCCACAGAAGCTGGGTACTGGAAGGCCACCGGAAAAGACAGGGAGATTTACAGCTCCAAGACCTGTGCTTTGGTGGGTATGAAGAAGACTCTGGTTTTCTACCGAGGGAGAGCTCCCAAAGGAGAAAAGAGCAACTGGGTCATGCATGAATATCGCCTCGAAGGCAAATTTGCTTACCATTACCTCTCCAGAAGCTCAAAGGTTCTTCTCCTATTAACTACCTAATCACTTCTTCTAGGGTTTTAAACAGTTAGGGTTTTAAGGTGTTAATTCACAGAAGTTAGGTTCTTCTGTTCATGGGGTAAAATCTGGTCGTTTTAAGAAACTGGTTCCAGTACTGTTTCATCTAGCTTCCTCCCCAAAGCTGAAATTGCTCAGCAATTAAGTTGGATAAACTTATCCACTGTACTGTGGCATGGTTATAGTTATTTTTCTGTCTTAACCCATGCCTCACATTAATTTCCTTAATGCGTGTGCGTGCTGTTTTCGGTAGGCTGTTCTTCATTTATGGTTTCTGGGAAAATGGCATTCATTTTATACAACTTGAAGTGGTCGGACACAGAAATCGTGTCTTACTTCAGAGTCTAGTAATCATAAGTATCTTGTTATTCATGTCTTTTAATTTCTTTTTATTGGTAGAATTCATGTCTTCTAATTTCCTTTTATTGTTAGTAATTAACCCAAGATAATGTTTACTTAAATGTTCTTTCTCATAAACAATGAGCTTAATCTCTGCTACTTCTTTCTTTTAATTTCTCTTGAATTTGAAAGGTTCTCAATAACACTTTTTGTACTGATTACAGGATGAATGGGTTATATCCAGGGTGTTTCAGAAGAGTGGCACCGGCAGTGGAGTCGCCAGCGGCGGAGGTGGAGCCAAGAAGACCCGGCTAAGTTCTGCCATCACCCTTTACCCAGAACCAAGCTCTCCATCCTCTGTCTCCCTTCCTCCTCTTCTGGACCCTACCGTCGGCACCACCACCACTGCAGCAACCACCAATTCAGTTACAGACCGTGACAGCTGCTCCTATGACAGCCACGCCCCCGCCGAGCACGTGTCCTGTTTCTCCACCATTGCCGCTGCTACCAGCAATGTCACTGCAACTGCGTTCAACCCCAGTTTCGACCTAGCAATGCCGCCGCTACAGCATATGACCACCACTACCAACTTGGACCCTTACTTCTCAAGAGACGTGGGAATGTCAGCATTTCCAACCCTGAGGTCTTTGCAAGAGAATTTGCAGCTTCCATATTTCTTCTCCCCTCCTGTAGTCCCTTCCCCTACTCTCCACGGTGGCTCCACCGTGACCTGGGGTTCTGTCCCGGAAGAAGGTGGCATCTCCAGCAGCAAGATGGCCACTGCTGCCACGGAACTAGACTGCTTGTGGACTTTCTGATCACAGAAACCTGGTGGGTTACCATCGTATGATTATCAACTCTAAGAATGTTTTTCATTATTATTATTTGGAAAAATATGTTTCTCATCATGTTTATTTAGGGATGCTATGAAAAAGAATGTATTAGGGAAATTTCATCTGTGTAGGGTTCTATGATGTTGACTTTTCCATCATAATGATGTACTAGTGTTTGTGTGGACTAGAATATTTGTTTACTACGTAGATGGGTATTGGAGTTCTGCTTTTAATGTCAAGTTCATTTTTTAGTACAAAATTTTTATCTTAAAAGAATTTTGACGCTTATAATTTAGTGTTTAATAACTAAATTTGTAAAAAAATTAGGTAAAAAATTGAAGTCACATATTTTAGTAAGATATCATAAAAAAGATTAGAGTAATATTATTTTTAAAAATTAAGTTAGTTTAATTTTTTAATAAAAATTTATTGAAATAATATAATTTTAAATTATTTTTTCTTAATTTTTCATATCATAGGCAAAACCCGTTGTTAACCCCTCAACTTACCCCATTTTAGTAGATGAGTCCCAGAACAAAAAAAAATGCAGATAAGCCCTCCAACTCACTAAATCGCTGCAAATTAGCCCTTGGTTAATTGACACCTTTAGTCTCAGTTATATTTAATTCGTGTGGCAATTAAAATAAACGGGCAGCGATGACATGATGGTGACAAGAAATTGGCCAATTCTAATTCAATCCCTTAGTTAAAATTTGAAATAGATATAGTCCCTAAACTTTAAAAATTTTACTACAAATGAAAAACATAAAATTCCTAAGTTGTCAATAAAAATTACTTGTAATTTGAGACGTTCATCTAAAGTTGCATTTTATTTATTTTTCTATATCTTTAATTTCTTATCCTTGCCATTTTTATTTTAAACCAATTTAATTCATCTATTTATAACTTTTTTCCCTTGTTGATGGAACAACTCAGTTACGGTTTTAGCTGCTCTAATGTATAGTGCAAATTAATCATTTTTTCACTACAATCAAATAAAAATGAGGCATAAGTTGAAATTTTTTTATTTAGACATATTCTATAATACTAGTTAGAGATATAAATATTTATTTATAGATTTTAATTATATTCATGCAACTAACCATACACCAACACTAGATTTGGACTAAAAATCAACAAAATTTATAAAAACTAAAATGACTTAAATGAAATAAATTTATTTGGGCCAACATTGAAATGAAAAACATAAAAAATTGAAAGTTAGTATGAGTAAAGATTGATAGATGAAATGTGGTGGATGGTTGACGAGATGAGATGTATTTGCAATCTTGCTAACCAAGTTCATGTTTTGATTGTGTAATTTGTTGGGATTTCAATCACTGGGTCTCCTGGCAAAGTCTTAATCTTTTTCAAAATCATACAATCTTCTGACATTATTGTTTTGAATTGAGAGGAAGTAACACTTGTTAAAAATGACTTAAATCTAGAGTTGTTAATAAAATACTTAAATTTAAGAACTATATGTATTTTAAATTTAACTACCTTAGGGATTAAGTTGCAATTGACTATTTTGTTGTTATTCTCGTGTGAGATGAATTTGCTACTATTTATTTTAAACGCCGATTTAACCAAGGATAAATTTGTTGCGATTTCGGTGATTCAAGGGCTTATCTTCTTGATTTTGTTGTTTAGGGGTTCATTTGCTAAAATGGGATACGATGAGGGGCTTAACAATGGCTTTTTCCTAATAATATCATATATTCATATATATTTGCGGTGTATATCTGAACTGTGGCAGTAGTAGCTTGTGTTTCATCTATTTAGGATTGCTCTTCATGTAGCAGTAAATCTTTTATTTTCTTCTTTTTGTTCTTCTTCTTCTTTTTTATTTTGAGTTGTTATTTTGAGTTGTATAATAATAAATAACTTTATCTCATCTCTTAACATACTTCATTAATATACCATACGACTTAAATTTAATATATTTTACTTTCGTTAAAAAGAAATTAGCTATAAATCTTATTTATGTATGCCACCATGAACTCGCTATCAATTTAATTTAAATCTTTGATTGATTTTTTTTTTTAAAGGAATTTTCGGTTGAGAGTGCATTATTATTGTACCTTTCACCATTAATTTGCATAAATAAAATAAAAGTTAACTTAAATTTTATAAACTATCTAATTAAATCATTCTATTTTGCATTAGCATTATTGAAAATAAAGTTTATTTTTATAATTTTTTATATAAATTAATGATAAAAATGTATAATAAATACCATATTAACCTGTACTTTATGAGCATACGTTAAAAAAATAAAAATAAAAATAAATAAAAAACAGCAGAGAAATTATAGTAAGGAATGGGACCCATCTAGTTCTTGCATTAGTTATTTTTGCTGGCTCCATAAATAATGTATAACAACATTAATTCGGTCCCCATCATTTTTAGCAATTAACTAGTAGCATTTGTATCTTTAATTGCTTTACATAAATAATGTTGGCCCCATATTCTCTCCTGCTTCATCTTCTTGCTTGCAATCTTTAATTTGCGCCGATTACACACTCACTCTTGTCGGCGGCCCAGCGATTCAAGCATTGAATGTCTTAACCTCAGTTCTCATCCCTTTTGCCATTGCATTGTTATCAAAAACCCACAATCTATATGTCCATTTCTTCTCTCATCAAGACTTAATAATATTCAGACATTTGAATGTCGGATTCAAGTAATTGATTTAAAATACATTGTAGATGCAATTAGGACATTTACAAACAAAAATAAAAGCCTTTTATTCTTGTTGATTAATTCTTGTTTTGTTTTTATTGATTTTACATGGCATACAGTGGCGAAAATACAATAATTTAGGAGGGAGAAAAATAAATTAGTAAAGAAGATTTAAGAAGAGCAAGCCCCACTCTAAAACTAGCTAGGATTATGATGTAAATTTCCTTGGTGACACAACAAATTGGTCCTATGATATGCAAACTTCAACAGCGAAACACACAATCATAAAGGTTAGATTTACTGATAATTAGCAAGTGTAATATTGTAAGTTAATTTCATAGTTTAAGTATTAAGGCTAACATTTTGAAAATGATAGAAAAAATAAAGAAAAGAAAAATATAAAGATATGTGAAAAAAGAAACTTTTTCTTTCTTAATTTTACTAAATATACAAGGTGTTTATTTATAAATCTGTACAAGAGAATATTTTATGGTATAAAATCAATTAACATAATTATAGCAATCAATTATAATGTAAACTCAATCAATATAATCATAATATAAATATTTTGTAACATCCCTTTTCAAACTTAAGGTGGTGATGAGGAGACCAGCTTGACTTTGGAAAGAAGAGTGCAGGAGCATCCAAGAAAGTGAGTTTTTGGTAAAAATATCTGTATACTGAATATGCAGATCAGTGCAGTCGATGTCGTTGGAAGAGAAGGAGGCAATATCATATCTGGGCAACAGTAATGTTGAAAATTCAATTATGAGAAATCAATAGCAAAATCAACAGTAAGAAATCAAGAGCAAAATCAGCGGTAATTGGATGTGAGAAGGCTGGAGCAATACTGGTCGCGGGAGTAACACGTATTGTCAACGCAACAAAGAAACAAGATCAAGAATACCCAATTGCAAATAAGTCCAAGAAAGAAAGCAAAGATGATGATGATTGGCACCACCTATAAGTAAAGCAGCAACTCACAAAGGAAATGAACAGTATTGAAGAAGTCCTAAATCATGCTGCTCTATCTACCAGATCTCTTCTTAAAATGAAGGTAATATCTTTTAATATTCGTGGGCTCGGGAACAGTGTTAAGAGAAAGGAATTGAGGAAGATAGTCAGTGGTCAACATGTGAATTTCTTGATGATCCAAGAAACAAAACTCGAGACAGTTGATGAGAATCTGTGTAGATCAATTTGGGGGCAAGAGGGCTTTGAATGGTATGCGAAGAGTGTAGATGGCAGATCTGGTGGTCTTCTTTGTATTTGGGATTCTCACTTATTTAAGAAAATTGATCTATTTGAAGGAGACGGTTTCATCAGTGTGGAGGGTCTGTGGGGGGCAAATAAAACTAGTTGCTGCTTTTTAAATGTTTATGGCCCCTGCAATGTTACGGGTCGTGCAAAGCTTTGGAATGACATTTCTGGCCATATTAGTTGTCGAACGTGCATTTTCTGTATTGGGGGAGACTTCAACTGTGTTAGAGGAGTGTATGAAAGGAAAGGCAGAATGATTTCTCATCCTGGTACTGATGATTTTAACCAGTTTAT